TGGATACAATTTGTTAATTTTTAATTTTGCATCTGTGTTCATGATAGATATAGTGCCATAGTTTTCTGTTTTTATAATATCTTTGTCTAGTTTTGGCATTTGGGTAATGCTGGCCTCAGAATGAGTTAGGGAGTATACCCTCTGCTTCTATCTTCTGGAAGAGATTGTAGAAAATTGGAAGAATTTCTTCCTTAAATGTTTGATAGAATTAACCAGTGAACCTATCTGGGCCTGGTGCTTTCTCTTTGGGAAGGTTATTGATTATTGATATAGTTTCTTTAATAGATGCAGGCCTATTCATATTTCTTCTTGTGCGAGTTTTGGCAGATTGTGTCATTCAAGGAATTGATCCATTTCATCTAGATTATCAGATTTGAGGGCTTAGAGTTAGTAATAATATTCATTTATTATCCATATAATGTTCATTTATAGTGATATCTCCTCATTCATTTCTGTTATTAGCAATGTGTGTCTTCTCCCTCTTTTTCTCAATTAGCCTGATGAGAGGCTTATTGAGTCTATCGATCTTTTCAAAAAATCAGCTTTTTAGTTTCATTGTTTTTCTCTACTGTTTTTCTATTTCTAATTTCATTGATTTTTGCTCTAATTTTTAAAAATTATTTCTTTTCTTCTGCTTACTTTGTATTAAATTTGCTCTTCTTTTTCTAGTTTCCTAAGGTAGAAGCTTAGATTTTTGATTTTAGATCTGCTTTTCCAATATATGCATCTGATGCTATAAACTTCCCTTTAACCACTGCATCCCACAAATTTTGATAGATTGTATTTCATTTTCATTTAGTTCAAAGTATTTTTAAGTCTCCCTTGAGATTTATTCTTTCACCTATGTGTTATTTAGGAGTGTGTTGTTTAACTTCCACATATTCTGGGATTTTCCACCTATTTCTGTTGATTGATTTCTAGTTTAATTTTATTTTGGTCTGAGAGCATACAGAATATGTTGAAATTTGTGAGGGTATGTTTTATGACCCAGAATGTGGTCTATCTTGGTGAATATTCCATGTGAGCTTGAAAAAAAAATGTATGTTCTGCAATTGCTAGATGAAGTCGTCTATAGATGCAAATTCAATCCATTTGGTTGATGGTACTGCTGAGTTCACCTATGTTCTTACGGATTTTCTTCCTGCTGGATCTGTCTATTTCTGTTAGAGGGGAGTTGAAGTCTCCAAATATAATAGTGGATTCATCTATTTCAACTCACAGTTCTACTGGTTTTTGCCTTATATATTTTGACACTGTTGTCAGGTGCATACACATTAAGGATTGTTATATCTTCCTCAAGAAATGACCTTTTATCATGTAGTGCCTCTCTTTGTCCCTCAAAATTTTTCCTTGCTCTGAAGTCTGCTCTATCTGAAATTAATATAGACTCTGATAAAACCCCAATAGGTTAGGCTTTGGTAAAATAGTTTCTCTTAAGGGCAGGCCTTGTTAAGGAAAACAGAATGTTCTGGCATATTTCAAAATGATTACTTCCCTTCCCACTGTGAGGAGCATGAGGGTTTTTTCCCTCTGCTTTTCACTGTGAGGACCTTGTAGAGCTTTAGAAGGTAAAACTCACAAAGGTGTGGGACCCCACCCCCCCATGACTGGGTCCCCCTAGGGTTTTTAACTCTATATACTTGTCCACACTGAGCCTCCACCAATTTGTTGATTACAGTTCAGCTTGTCCTATTCTGGTACTGTTTCCTGAGAAGGTGGGTTCTTCTTTGGCAAGTTGTGATTCTCGCATTCACCAGTCTGTCTTTCCAATTTCAGGGAGGGCCGTTTGTCCTGCAGCCTCACTTCTCTCGTGGATCTAAGAGGAGTTGTTGAATTTTCAGCTTGTTCACCTTTTTACTTGTCATTGGATGCACTGGTGACTTCCAAGCTCCTTACACGCTGGACTGGGAACTGGGCACATTGGGCACCTGGGTGGCTCAGTTGGTTAAGCGACTGCCTTCGGCTCAGGTCATGATCCTGGAGTTTGGGATCAAGTCCCACATCGGGCTCCCTGCTCAGCAGGGAGTCTGCTTCTCCCTCTGACCCTCCTCCCTCTCCTGCTCTCTGTCTCTCATTCTCTTTCTCGCAAATAAGTAAAATCTTAAAAAAAAAAAAAAAGAAAGAAACTGGGCACATTGTCGCTCAGCCACAGACTACATCTCCCAGCCTCCCTTGCAGCTAGGCATGGCCAGTGGGTTGTGAGTAGAAGCCTTGTGAGCCAGAGTGCCTTTCCTTCCCTTTCCCTCTCCTCCTTCCTGTGGGTTGGAAGGCAGATGCAGTGCTGATGAATTGGCTTCCACTGTGCAAGGGAGGATATGACTCCAGGGAATGCCGAAGCAACAGAGTGGAATGGATCCCTGGATCCCTGGGTGACCACATAGAGCAGAGCTGCTCTGCCAACCGGGACCACTCACCTCTGGACTCTTACAGCAGGGACATTAAGTTATTTGACCCAGAGTATTTTGGGGTCTCTTTATCAAGGCAGTTTAACCTGTACCATAACTAGTCCAGACCCCAAACCCTTAGCGAGCCCAGAGCTCCCTAGCCAGAGACAGCTGGCTGTGGTAGAAAACTGCAAGAGATGTGGGCAGAAAACAGGCCCCTCTCCAGGCTTGGATGCTGATTTGCTGTGTGATGCTGGGTATTCCCATATCCTAATCTACCTCAACTTGCTTCCAATGAGATGAGGGGCCTACAAGTATGGTGATGAACCACTGATGGTTGGACAGTTGCTAAGAAAAGATTTTAGTTAGGGAAATCTTGAGGATGAAGCTTAGTGTAGTTGTAACCTACCGGAGCCCTCTTTACCTGTCTGAAGATTCCAGGTGCCTAGAGCTGGAGGAACTCCAGGAATATCTCTTCTGGTCCCTCTTATTTTTTATTAACATACAGTGAAGTTGGCTTTTTTTGAGGGGAGTTTCCAGGTTTATGAATCTTTTTCTATTTTCATTAAAAATTTTAAAAAAATTTATTTTTTTGAGTGAGAAAGAGAGAGAGAGAGAGCAGGTGGAGAGGGGCAGAGGGAGAGAGAATCTCAAGCAGACTCCCCGCTGAGTGTGGAGCCCTGTGTGGGGCTCCATCCCACGACCCTGAAATCATGACCCGAGCCGAATTCAAGAGTCGGATGCTCAACCAGCTGAGCCACCCAGGTGCCCCATAGGTCTATGAATCTTATTTTTTTTTAAACTTATTTGAGCGCTAGTGAGAGAGAGAGAGAGAGAGAGCATAGAGGGAGAGGGGAAAGCAGACTCCCCACTGAGCAGGGAGTCCTGATGCAGGGCTCGATCCCAGGACCCTGGGATCACAACCTGAGCCAAAGGCAGTCGTTTAACCGACTGAGCCACCCAGGCGCCCCTCTATGAATCTTAACACATGTGTAGATTCCCGTGACTGACACCATGGTCAGGATATGGAACAGCTGACCCTTCTTACTGGGCAGGGACACAGGTGGGCCTCACCTGGGTCATGCAGTCATTAGCAGCACAGCCAGAGGAGGAGGGCCTGGTGGGCTCAGGCTGAGCTGAGAGGAGCAAGCTGGGGCAGCCCTCTCTGCTCAGACCAGCCTCCTCAGTGCCCAGCCCTGTCCACTGGCCCATGAGGAGTCCTGGGGACCTTCTCAAAAAAGTCTGGCCCATCTGACAGGACCAAGGGTAGCGTGGCCCCTCTGGAATGGCCACTGGCCTTGGTCTCTTTCATTCCATTCCCAGAGGAACCATAGGGAGACTGGGTAGGGGCCTGTGTCACTCTATTCAGGAGCATGCAGTGGCTCCCTGATGCCTCCTGCCCCCATCCAAGCTGCTGAGTGTTTGAGGCCAGACAAGTCAGGAATGCCAGTCAGGCATTGTCTGTCCCCAGTCCCTGCTGCCCTGCCCTGGAGTGCCCACTGCTCCCAGACTCCCCACTGGGTACCCCATGATCCCCTTCTGTGTCCCCTAGCTCTGGTTCCAGGCTCCTAGTGCCCCCTTCCTCCTACAGTCCTGCAGCTGCCTCTTTCCCAATTGCCTGTGGGAGCAAGTCCCAGATCCTCGTCTGCCATCGAGTCCCTCCATGACCTGCTACTGTCCCTCCAGGCACCTGCCCTCATCCCTTCAGTTCCCCTCTGTGGTGCATCCATCCTCCTTGGCTCAGATGAACTCCTCTTGGCTGGACTCTTGCAAATATTTTACCTTGATTTGGCCCTGATTTCACCCATGTCACACTATTTGCCAGTGTATCTTTCTCTCCTACGAGATGTTAAGGTAGGTGAGACCAGGCAGCTTATCTTACTCCTTCCTGTGACCCCATGAAATCCAGTACCCACTTTATGCTTGGGAAAGAGGTGTCCCAGGTACTGTACTAATGGGGGCTCTTTCTGGCACCACACTTTGCTCTTGCTGTTTCCTCACATTAAATGCCCTTCCCTCCTCTCTCTCTCTAAATTCTACCACTCTTCTGGAGCTAGTTCAAGGGCAGCTTCCATCCAGAAGTTTGCAGTAATCACCCCCGCCTTGTGTTCCCCCAGCCATGCCTGGTCTTCAACACTTCTGGGGGTGTGGGAATTCCCCAGTGGGCCAGGTGTGGCCTGGAGGTTGGGTACAGCAGTGAGAGGAAGGGGACAGTGCTGGGAGGGGAAAAGACCCCAGAAGACCACGGAAGGGATTCTGGGCTGGGCTGTGTGAGAAAGTGGGCAGGGGAGGCAACAGCAGGTACGGGCTGATCCAGCAGCCCGGGGGTTGAATGTGAACTGTGGCAGCAGGAATGCAGGGGCTGCTGGGAGGAAGTCAAGGAAAGGATGTTTGCCAGGCTCTGTTGTGGGAGGCTCTGGGATTGAGCCCAGTCTCAGGAGGAGTCAGGGTCTCCAGGGTTCTAAGGATGTGATGGTGGTTGCGCTAGCCATGGAAACTCATCCGATGGTGGTCAGGTTGGTTATGGAACCTGGTCTGGTGGTGGTCAGGCTACTCTGGAGGCTGGTCTGATGGAGGTCAGGCTGACCAAGGTGCCCATAGCCTGGGCCAGTGACCTCAGCAGGGGATGAGGAGGGGGTTGGTGAGTGCAGGAGCTGTGGAGGCTGGTGCAGAGAGCTCTCTCCGCAGGAGTTCACAGCCAGCCAAAGCTTGGTGCAGGGCATCCAGGATGGCCGAGGGTCCAGATATCCCCTCTGGAAGGAAAGAATGGACAGTGAGGGCAGTTCAGTTTGCTCACTGTGGCCCACATAGCCACTCTGCCTCCTTTCTGGGGCCCTCCCCAGTCCTGCCCAGCTACCTCCCCCTCTTGTCTCTCTCTCTCATTGAGGACACCAGAGAAGGTTTCTGACCTCCCTCTCAATTCCAGGGACCATTCAGGGCACTCGACCTACCTGAGCCTTGCCCAGCAATGCCCTGTGAGGCCAGAGAGCAAAGGCTCATCACCAGTTGGTTGCCCCATTAGCCTGTGAGGCCCTTTGAGGAGAAAGCTTGGTCTGGCTCCTCTTGATTTCACCAGCCACAATCTGGCACTGATGAAATCCTACTGCCCTCAACTTTGTCTGAACAATGGGGGCCATGTAACTTAGTGCTTAAGGGAGAGACCCAAGGCTCTGGTTACAGCTGGCACTTGGCCTTTCTCTGCTTCAGTCTCTCCATCTGTGGAATGGGTACAATCACAGAGCCTTCTCCAGTGGGCTGTTGTCATGACTCAGGGGGTTAAAACCACAAGAGGCACCTCCACAGAGCCTGGCCCACACTCAGCCCAGTGTCTGAACTGACAGCAGAGAACCTTGCCTACCTCCCTTGGGGGTTTGACCACACCGGCTTCTGCTTAGCTCTTCTCCCTGGGACATTGAATAGCATTTTTAACTTTCTGAAGCCTGTTCCTGACTGCACTTTGCGGGTGGTCAGGGCAGTCATGACAGTGGCATTTTGCAATCAAGGCACTCAGGACAGAGAGTGCTGGGCAGGCTGCTCTCCAGATGCTTTCCAGGCTCTGAAAGATGGAGGAGTTCTCCTACCGTGTGTGGGGTCCTTGCAAGCATCCAGTGTGTTCAGCAAAATCTTCCCCAGGGCTCTTTTCGATATGTTCTTAAAAAGAAATGGGAGACAGGGCTGGACTGTACTGTGGCCGCCATGTCCCCGTTCAGCAGGTGGGACTTGGTGGCCCCTAAAGGCTTCTTCTGTAAGGCTCTCTGGGGGCACATAGAGTTATTACCTCCCATCCCTTCCTGGGCCCCTACTCTTAGCCTGGCCGCACTGCTTGGTGGTCTTCCCAAAGACTTTTGGTGGGTGGATAGTGTGGGGTGCAGCATCCTTTCCACCAAAGATCACATATTTATGGATTACCATTTATGTGCCAAAGTAGAAGTTGGCACTTGGGAAATAAACATGAATAAGAGCATTTTTATGCATTAGCTCATTTAATCTTTGCAACAACTGATATTATTAGGCTCAGTTTAACCAGCGAAGAAAAGCAGTGCTGAGAAAGAATGAGAAATTTGCCTAAAGCCACCCAGCCAGGAGGTGGAAGAACCAGCTTTTACCCCCAGGTTGCATGGCCTGGAATTGTGGTGGTAACCACCACCTTTGCTATCTGCTGGCACTGGCTGCCACTCTGCCATTCTCTCAGGCTGTGCTGCCCTGGCTTTGGCCTTTGTAGTTCTGTGTCCTAGGCAGTCTGGTGCATAGGCAAGAGCCCACTTAAAACCCAGGCAACCTGGGTTCAAATCCTACTTCCACCTTATAGGAGCTGTAATCCTAAGTTAATGGTTGCTCAAAAAAATATTCTTTTAATGGTTTGCTGATGTTATTTAGGAACACAATTCACTTCTGTGTTCTGCTATTTTATTATTTACCTTGCCAAGAAGTTACAATAATTTGCCTCTGGATTCTCTTGGGTATTCTATATAGATGATATATAATCACTGATAGCTTTGTGTCTTCCTGTCTAATCCTTTTCTTTCTTTTTCTTGTCTTACTGCATTGGCTAGAACCTCTAGTTGGCATACAAACACTGATGACATGCATGCTTGTCTTGATTCTCACTTTAGAAGCATTCCTTCTAACATTTCACCAGTAAGTGTGAGGTTTGTGAGAGGTAGTTGGCTGAGACTCCTTACCTGGTAAAGGAAGGTCCTTACTGTTCTTAATTTGCTGAAGGGTTTTATGATAAAAGGAGGCTGACTGACTTTTTTATATCTATTGAGATAAATATATGGTTTTTGTCCTTTAATCTGCAATGTGGCATATGATGTTAATAGATTTTTTTTTTTATCTTGAATTATCTTCGGATTACTGGGATTGAATCCAAGTTGGTCGTGTTGCATTTCTTTAAACACTGCTGGATTTGGTTTGCTAATATCTTATTTAATATTTTGTATCCATGTTTCAATGTGACATTAGCTTATAATTTTCCTTTCTTATATTTATCCTTCTCTGGTTTTGAAATCAAAGTTATATCAGCTTTATAAAATGAATAATAGCACCTTGGGCAGGACAGAGAAGGCTTTCCTTCTTTTTAATTAACTTCCCCTGAGCCTCCTTTTCTGCATCTAGAAAGTGGAGTTGACACCTGCCTAATGTGAGGAGAGCTCCGAGCCAGGTGCCTGACGCAGGCCAGTGCTCCCTCCTGAGAGCCCCTCCCCTTGCCTGGGTGTGCCAGTGCCCATGAGCCTACCAGGTCCCGGAGCCTCTGCAGGAGCTGCAGCACGTCTACCAGCTTCTCCTCCAGCAGGGACAGCCGCACCCTCTCTGTCTCCACCATCTGCAGCTCCAGCCTCAGGTGCTCATTCTCTTCCACCTTCTGCTGTAGCTCTGCCTGCGGGGACCAATGGGGACTCAGCAGCCACCCTGCTGCCCTCTGCCCAGCACTCACTGCGCCATCTCCAGGCAGGGCCCATGACTTGCCTTGACCCTTTCACAGAGGTCATCTCATCTGACACCCCCACCCCCCGGCCTGCCAGGTGACTGGGCAGGTAAAGTCCCCCATCTTCCAGTGCTGGCACCAAGGCCCAGAGAGGCTGCATGTGTGGCCTAAGGTCACACAGCGAATTGCGTTAATGTACGAATATGCATATTTTGTTTTCTAGTTGAGGACTCCCATTTTCCCTTCTCCATCCATCTGCTTTCTTTTCTTTTTAATACATTTTTTGGGGGGTTGCAAGCAAGAGAAACCTATCTGGCTAGTTAAACAGAGAATTCACTGGCAGGCTCTGGGTCATTCCCAGAACAGAATGGCAGCTGGAGAAACTCAGGGATGGGGCAGCAATGGGGATTGAGATGGTAGGACAGTCTCAAGCCACCTGTCCAGGGGTCAGAGCTGAGGACACTCTGCAGACACTCTCCCACTTCCCTCAAGATGGAGAGCCCCAGGAGGGGGCCCAATTGGGCCAGCGTGAGTCATGACCCACCCTTGGCCAGGGGAGCACTGAGACCATGAGTCCTACCAGGATACCCACCACGGGGCAGATGCCAGGCAGTCACAAAGCATCACATGGCTACTTGCCTTCTAAAGCAGGGATGCTGGGAGTAAGGCAGTCCCTATTCTTGGCATCAATGGAGGGAAAGAGGAGCAGCTGAAGGTGGACACTCTGGGCCTTGGGCAGGACAGAGAAGGCATGGTGCCAGTGCCCACTGCAGATGGGACTGGAAGGGGGGCTTGGGGACACCACTCACGTGCCTCAGTAACTCCTCTAACCCCCCACTTCCTTGGAATTCACTTAGAAAAGGGGTGATGGCCATGCCCTTTGGAACCACATCAGACCACAGATATGTCAAAAACAGTATGGATTTAGAATTTCAGGTGTATAAATAGAAAACTATCTTAGATCAAAACCATAGTTTTCAAAAGCGCAGTGGGCTAGGGCTTATTGAAATGGTAACTCTCAATAGCACTCCGCATTTGATTATTGTGCAATGGAGTCGAGAGATGAGAAAAACATGCTAAGTGGTCTTATTGAAACGGGGACACCCCGCTATTGGTGCTGCCTTCCAGCTCCCTCCCGTTACCCTCAGTAACCTTCCTGGGGAGAAGTGTCCTTCCTCCCCCTTGTCTGACTTTGATGGAGTTGCTAATCCCTAAACTCTGCCTGCCTACCACAGGGATTGGCTCAGGGACAGGCACAGGACCGAGGCTGGGCCAGTTGGGAGTTCTTCCAACTGGATGTAATATATTGGGCTCTTATCCCCCTGGGCTTTCTTAGGTGGGGCAATGGGAGCCTAGAGCTGTCTGTGGTCTTGCCTTTCCTTTCATCACCACATGGAGGAAGCCCTTCTGAAGTAGGGGGAATGAGGCCAGCACCCGAGAAACCCAGAGCAGATACAGGTAGGTGGAGACAATCTCATCTGAGCCACTGGATCCAGCTGTTCCTGAAGCTCATCTCCTTGGCTGTTCTTCTGAAGCTGTTCTTGCCGGCTCCATATTCTAATAAATACCTGTTTATAATTCCGTTAACTTGCAACCCAAATATTCTTCATTAAATCTAAATCAAAGCAAGTCGCATCTCCTCTCTGAGTCTTGGTTTGCTCATCTGTGAACAAGGGCCCAGGACTTGGCTGACATGCCTCGAGGGTTCTTCCAGCTATGAGAGAGACTCTAGCATTGGTCCAGACCTCGACCTCTGGGGCTCAGCTGACCTCCTCCCCAGGTGTTCCCAGGGCCTTCCTACGGCAGCCGTGGGTCCCCAGCTGCTCCACCAGCATGGCGATGTGGGCCTCCAGCTGTCCCAGGGTGCAGGCATGGTCACCACTGCCAAAGTGGCTGAAGTAAGTCATGAGCGTCTTGGCTGTCTGGTCATCACACCTGCAGCAAAGGAGAGCACCAGCACTGTGGAGCGGCTCTGCAGAGTCTGCTTCAGCCTCACAACGTGGGTGTTGCCACTGAGTCTGTCTCCTGAAAGTTAAGCCAGGCCATGGCACCCCCTGCTCAGTACCCTCCCATGGCTCCCTGTCTTACTCCAAGGAAAAGCCAAAGGCCTCTAGCAATCTGCCCCTGCGATCTCTCTGACCTCCCTCCCATTCCTCTTCACTCACTGTGCTCCAGCCCCAGTAGCCCCCTCACTGCCCCTCCAACATGCCTCAGGGCCTTTGCACTTGCTGTTCCCTCTTCCTGGAATGCACTTCCCTCGTGTCCTTCAGGTCTTTGCTCACATGGCACCTTCTTAGAGTGGCCTTCCCAGCATCTCCCTTCACCCCCCTGTCCCCTTCCCCTGCTTCACCTTTCTTCCTCACACTTGTCACCACTCACTAGAATAGGAGCTCCAGGAGGTGGGGGTGCTGTCTTGCTTACTGCTGTTCTCTCAGTGCCTCCAGGCACATAGTAGGTGCTTATTAAATGCTTGTTGACTTAAGGATCGGTGATAACAATAACCCGGGAAAATCGACAGCACTGTACAATATAAGGAAAGTCAATGCCACCCCCCGATGGTGAACCTACGGGGATCAGGCACCTGTTAGGCATCTTATAGCCTCGTCAGCAAGTCTTCAGAAAACCTCTGCTAGACAAGTGTTACTGGCCCATCTTAGAGACGGGAAGGCTGAGGGTCAGAGAAGTCAGGCGACTTGTCTGAGGTGCCCCAGGCATCTGGGTCTTTCTTCCCTCCAGGGTGGTCGTGAGGATTAAATAAGCCAGGGTGTCAGCTGGAGGGGGCCCTGTAAGCGCTGTTTCTCGCAGGAGCAATGGGGCAAGGAAGGGTCTGATACGTCCTGGAGTAACACTAGAGCTTTGGGCCATGTCTTGGCATAGCGGCCCGGGGAGTGGGAGGAAACCGATGGGAATTAAAGCTCCCCACTAAGGGTGACTTTGTCAGTCACCTCATTTTATCCCTGCACATGCTGGGGGGCTATCTTCTCACTTCCCTCCCGTGGGCTAGGGGCCAGAGTGTCCAGGGAGCTGGGGGTGACCCAGCCTGGATTTGAATCAGGTCCCCAAGGCCAAGCTCTGGGAAGGGGCTCTGGGCCTCCAGCACTGATCCCAGCCCCGCGCCCCCCCCCCCCCCCAGCGCACATACCCACTTCTGCAGCTGGAGAGGCTTGCCAGCAACGTCTTGACCTCTGCCAGTGACCTCTGCTCTTCCTGCCACTTCTCCTCACCCTCCTCTTCTTCATCGGAGGCGGCCTGGCCCTCCACTGAGCGGAACAGCTGCCCGTCCACTGCTGGAGAAGCACGGGATGCCGGCACCAGGGCCAAAGGGAGGGAACCAGGCAGCCCTCCCCAGGGGGCCATGCGGTGGGCCCCGCAGAAGGGACAGGCTCTGGCACCATCACCCCTTTTTCCAGATAGCTGCTCTCCCACATTCCCCGTCCCTGCAAGGTGAGGCCACCGAGGCTGCTGGGTCCTCTCCCCAGTGCCTGGCCCAGACTGGCCAACTGGAGCCCCTCCCTGGGCCCCTGGGAGCAAAAAGCCCTTTCTCTTCTCTGCTTTCCAAGACTACACAACTAGCCAGGGCCTGTCTGTGCTCTCAGAGGGTCATATTATTTCCATTTTAGGATATGACAGTCCCAGCCAGGGGAGCCACAGGGCAGGGGTCGGGGCTCTGCAGGGCATGGGCACCAGGTTGAACAGATTTTCAGCTCTCAGGGAGCTGCACGCCTCTCCTGCAAGGGAAGGGTTGTCACGCGTGTGACTCTGTGTGTTCCCCAACGTGGCCATGTCTGGTTGGGGTACTCTGGTCTGGTCGCGCATTGGAAATCCCTGGGGGCTGGCCGCCCAGCGTCGGCCTCCGTCTCGGGGGGGTGTGTGTGGGGGGGCAGCCCCTTACCATCTCTTCAGAGGAAGCCCTCCCTCTCCTCCCCGCTCCACCCCAGCCCAGGGCACACGCGAGTCCAGCCTGGCCAGGCAGAGTGCACACAGCCTGGCCACATGACGAGTTCAGCCACGGCGGGGGACCCAGCGTGAGCCAAAGAAAGCCAGGCCAAAATCGGAGTCAAACTTCCAGGGAAGAGAAGAGCCGCCATTCCTCTGGCCTGGGAGTTGGAGGGTGTGGGTCTGCAGCTCGTGGGGGCTGTCTGGTCAGTCTGAGGGGAGCACCTTCTGCACAAGGCAGCAAGAGATGAAGTTCCATGACACCCTGGCTGTGCCTGAAGCCTACGTGGACTTTTTCATTAATTCGAGCCAGTCTGACAGTGACAATGGCCTGATCCTCACGGACAGATAGTGTTCTGAGCAACAAAGCTGTGTCTTCCTCCCCTGCAGAGGGAGAGGAGAATCATAAGCAGCAGAGCTGGGGTGGGCCTGGGCCTCTGCATTTCTAAAAGGCTCCTGGGTGATCCTGACCACCTGGTAGGTTTGGGAACCACTGACTCAGGTCTCCTGACTTGGGACACCCATCTCTCCAGCCTGACTGTCCCAGCTGGGTGGGCTCAGGGCCCTTCTGTTTTGTTCAGTAGAAACTGTCCCAGACCAAACAGAACCAGGGGTGAGGGGACTGGTCCCTGACTTTTTGGTTGTGTGAATTGCATTCCCAGTATTGACCATTTGTTTTTCACCCTGGCAGTTTCCTGACGCTGTGTGTGTACACGTGTGTGTATGTACATGTATGTGTGTGGCATCATTGTCATCACGGTCATTAATACTGTCCTGGTGCCCCAGGCAGGGGCAGGCGAGGAGCTCTGAAAAGGAACGGGAAGGATGGTGCCCAGCAGCCCCCACACCTGCCCATGACTGAGCCTGGGGAGCACTGGGCACCCCTCAGCCAGCGTTGCTCCTCTTTCCACATGACAGTTCCACACCCACCAGGCCCCGATTCTTGAGCCGATGGGCCTCTTTGAGGTCTTCTTGAGGGGTGTCCATCCAGTCCCTGCTTACACACCTCTGATGATGGGGCACTCCACCTCAGTTCCGTGGGCACCCAACCCTTCCCTGCGTGGGACCCACACTGAGCTGGAACCTATCCCTGGGAACCGCCTTCTCCCACCAGGTGTCTGTACTCCCTGGCCTAAGGACGGAGCCCTTGTTACTCGGGAAGGCCCGCCTCAGCACACAGCGGGAGTGGGGTTCTGTTTGGAGGCTGGATGGCAGCATCGGTGTGGACAGCTGGGGGAATGGGGCCTGGCACAGCCGGCCAATCGTGAGCCTGGCAGCAGCCTGAGTGTGGCAGGGACAAACCTTCGTCCAGGGGTCCGCTCCTGGAACCGCTGTCTGACTGCCAGGCGCCCTCTGGAGGGCTGTCTGGGCTTCTGGTCCCACTGTCCGCAGGGTCACCACTCTTGGCTTCTGGCTCTGGGCTGGCTTGTGACGAGATTGGGGGCTGGGTGCCCTCTGACCTGTGGGCAGGGGAGAAGACACGGGTGTTGAGAGGGAGGAGGGGGCTCGGCCGGCTTCCTGCAGGAGAGTGTGGGATGTGGGCCCACTCTCTTCCACGGCTTACTCTGCACAGGTAAGCTGTGTAGGATGTGCCCGAAGAAGACCCTGGATTGTCTCTGCGGTTGACCCTACTGACTCCCTACCCAGCGGCCAGAATGTTAAAGCCAAGCTTCCATGACAGACACTCACTCTCTCAGCACCTCTTGTAGCGAAGGCACCGGCTGTAACCCAATTTTAGGCGATGAGACTAAAGGCAAAATCTGAGGAGCTCTGGAATGGATTTGTATCCCTTATAAAGAGAAGATTGGGAAAGGAAATGTCCTTCCTTCCTGGCTTTGGACATTAGCATGTGGATATGATGTTTGCAGCTATGGCAGCCATCTTGTGACCAAGAGGAAATGCCTGAGAGAATTGTAGAGTAGTTAAACAAGAGCCCTGACATCTTTCAGCTGCTGAGTTAACTAGTCTTGGAGTTACCCACCTCTGGGCTTCTTATTATGGGTGAGCTTTTTTTTAAAAAAGTCTTAATTGTTTCAGTTACTTTTAACTGCATTAAAATCGAAAGTATCTCTCCTCTTTGGGCTTTGGAGGACCTACTTCAGCCTCATCAATCAATTTTCTTGATAATCTAAGGTCCTCACTTTTTGAATATTCATTTTCCATGTCACCGCAGTTACAAGGTCAAGGAAAACATGAGCACGAATCTATCATAACACGAAGATATTCACTAATGAACTACTGCTTGTTAAAACCGGTCCTTCCCTTCTCCCTCATTGTACACCAACATCTGTCTCTCCTCTCTTCAGGAACTGTCATTCCTCCTCTCTCTCTGACTATCAGACATAACAACCCGGTGCAAAGGGTCTGTAAAATACAACTGCACATCCTGGAAAAGGAGAGGCTTTGGGATATCAGCGAAGGGAATAGTGGAGAACCATGGGATTCGAGCAGAACCACTGACTGTGGGGATGTGGTGGAGCTGGACCAGTCTCCACCTGAATAAGACAAAACCAACAGGATTACGAAGGGCCAGGAGCACCAAAAGAGGACTTGGAGGACTGGGAAAAGCCCTTAGAGAAACTAACAAAAGTCTCAAATATTTTTGCAAAAGGGACCCTCCTCATGATTAAGCTGCAAAAAATAAGAAAACATGAAGTTAAGGATGCACCATTGTATTTTCATGCAGTTTTGCTGGAAAAAAATTATTCCAAAAGGAATATGATCAACCCAGAAACAGTCTATGTCTAAGAATAAGTGCGCTGTGCTGCAGTCACGAAGATTACTTTAAAAAATGAGTGAAAAATGAAAATGAAAATTACCATGTGATCTGGCAAAATGCCTCTGGGTATATACCCAAAAGATTTGAAAGCAGAGACTCAAGCAGATGTTTACACCCGTGTTCGAAGCAGCATTATTCACAAGAGCCAAAAGGCGCAAGCAACCCAAGTGTCCACTGATGGATGAATGGAGAGGGTGTGGTCTCCACACACAATGGAATATTATCCAGTCTTAAAAAGGGAGAAAATTCTGACACACGCTACAACATGGATGAAACTTGAGAACATTATGCTCAGTGACATAAACCAGTCACAAAAGGACAAACGCTGTACGAGGTCTCTAGAGCAGTCAAATTCCCGGAGACAGTAGGACGGTGGCCGCCAGGGGCTGGGGGAGGCGGGAGTGGGGAGTTAGTGTTTACTGGGGACGAGGTTTCCGTTTGGGAAGATGAAAAGTTTCTGTGGATGGATGGTGGGGCTGGTCGCACAACAGTGTGAATGTGCTTAGTGCCCCTGAACCGCACACTAAAAAAATAGCTAAAATGGTAACTTTTATGTTATGTATAAATTTTACAATTAAAAAGAAAAAAGAATGAGTAGTTGAAAACATGACCTGGATTTATTAATGAAATAGTACAATAAACTCACTTTCATACAGTTTGGTTTTATTTTTCAAGTTAAAGCCTCTATCAAATCTGACACATGTTACTCTCTTTGGTCCTATTTTATGCAGACTCATTTCAGTGGATTTCCCAGGACCAGATATTACTGGAAAACAAGGACCCTTCCGCTCAGTTCAGGAGTCGCTATTTGGAGTCACCGGCCAGTCTTCGCCCACACAGACTACTGTGAAGGTAGAAGCCGTACAACACGGTGGATGAAACAGGATCCTTGGTTCCAACCCCAGCCTTGCCAATGAGGAACTGAGAGTGGGACTTGGCCCCCATTTTGCAGGTGGGCCACTGGAGCCAATGACCTCGGAGGTCCTCCCGTCTCTGCTTGGGTTCTCTTGATCGGGCCTCTGTGAGTATTCGGAGGAGCCAGCTTGGCCAGGATTGGTGTTGGCCGCATGCACGTCCGGGAAACCAAGTTGCTGTTCCAGAGGGATTGGGAGACACGGGGACGAGGCACTGCAGAGGGTCCTAGCACGGGTTGGTCCGGTGGATTCAGTGTCCCAAAGACTGCTGAGCCGAGCAAGAGGGGATCTGCAGGAGTGCACTCGGCGGGGGCATCGGCCACCTGCGGCCACCCAGCACCTCCCCTCCCCATGGGTAACAGCGCCCCCAACTGCCACCCAGGTACTTCACCGGCTCACCTACCCCTATGAAAAGCAGCGCATCTGCTCAGAGGAGGGCGGGACACATGGCCCCTCCCCACACTAATTAGCATGATCCCGCCCCTGGCCACCGTGATTCACTGAGGCCTGCACAGGTAGCCAATGAGACGCACCGACGCGCTTGTTCCCTGCGTGGCGAGGTGTGAAGATGAGGTGGGGAGCTGTGACAGTCATTGGTGACTCCCAGGAGACCGCTTAGAGATGCTGGGGGCTACAGACAGAGCCTAAAGAAGACAATAGAAACGAGGTCCTTGATAACATTATTTGAGTCCTGGATCAGACTCTGCCTGAAGCCAGGGCGAACCCTGAACTTTTGTGTTTTCTGAGCCAGTAACTCTGACTGATTAAGTCTTGCACTCAAGCTCCTCTAATGCAAACTGAGAATGGAGATATGGTTTGGCAGCCGGCAATGTTAAAACCCCATGGGTGGGTATTCTTGTTTAAGCGTGAAACCATGTGAGGTTTCCAGAGGCTTGGGCCACAGCCTGAAGAAGAAAAGACACAACGGTATAGGGCCACGGTATAGGGTGGAGGCAAGTAGCTTTTATATGGCCCCAGAGAGTGGTGCTTGATCAGGATGAGGGGGAAGCAAAGGTGAGACTTGGAGAATCATAAGGAGGCAGTTTTAGCTCACTGTGAGGGAAAACTTTCTCACAGGGATTGCTGACCAAGAATGGAATGGGCTGTCTTGTGGAGGTAATGAGCTTCATGGCAGAGGAGGTATGTAAGGAGGTAAGGACTGCAATGGCTGGAATTTTTTTTTTAAAGATTTTATTTATTTATCAGAAGGAGAGAGAGTGAGTGAGCACAAGCAGGAGGAGTGGCAGGCAGAGGGAGAAGCAGGCTCCCTGCTGAGCAAGGAGCCCGACATGGGGCTTGATCCCAGGACGCCGGGATCATGACCTAAGCCGAAGGCAGACGCTTAACTGACTGAGCCACCCAGGCATCCCCAATGGCTGGAATTTTGAATAGAGTTGGAGGTTGAACTCGACAATATCTACATCTTCCCACTATGAGATGTCGCTTCCCCCCAACCTCCCACTAAATTATTTAAGGGCTTCAACAAGCAAAATGAGATGGAGGGGATAGCCCTTATTTAGAAGTTTCCTAGCATAGGCTAGCTCTGGCACACTGGTCCCTACACTTCCCACAGCCCCACAGCCACTGGAGTCGTAGAAGCCCTGCTCCAAGTGCAACCTTCTGCCTTAACAACAACTAAATCTTTCACAGAGCGCGTAGTCGGTGCCAGGCACTGCGCTCAGTGCTGTAAACATTTTCCTCACAACGAGGAGGTCGGTAGGTACCGCCATTATCCCCGTTTTGCAGATGAGGGAATGGAAGCATAGAGAGCCCGAGCAACCTGTTCAAGCCGCACAACTCAGGTCCGGAGGAGCTGGGATTCCCACTCAGGCCATTGGCTCCAGGCCCACACCTCAGTGGCCCTGCCAGGTGGGAGGGAAGCTTGGAAGACTAGGTCTGGAATGACCCAGCCCAGCTGCCGTTCTCATTAGGTGACTGCAGGTCACATGCAATGAAATCAGGGAGAGGAAGCTACTGAGAAGGGTGTGGAGAGTGGGACAGATGAGGACACACTTCGGAATTTTCCAAGACATAAAATGTGGCCGCAGAGAAACAGAGTTTCCCTAGGGAGACGGAGGGTGTGCTACTCTTATCTAGTAACTGGTATTTAACTGAGTCTGTCATTACCCTGCTGATTCAATCTGTAGGATCATTCACATAATCACATAAATGTGCTGCAATATCTCCCCCTTAAAATAAAAACCCAAAGCCAACCAAACAAAATAACCCTCCCCACCATATGGCTGCCCCCAGCTACCACCCCTTTCTCTGTCTACTGTAGAGCAGAGCTTCCTGAAGAGTTGCCTCTGCTGTTCCGAACTCAGCTTGTCACCCGTCACTGCTGTGCTGCTAGAGCCAATGGCTGCTTCTCAGTGCTCATCTCGTTTGGCCAGTGACATGAAGACTACACTTCACAGGGCACACTTCACAGGGCACACTTCACAGGGCACACTTCACAGGGCATACTTCACAGGGCACACTTCACAGGGCA